ATGTTTGGCTGGACATTCCCTCAACACTCCTCCTTGCCTACGGCGTCCCGCCAGTAGGCATTATGAAGCATGTTGCTACGGAACGGAAAGGCGCTCCACGCCTTTTCCAGCTCATGTTAATTACAGCTTCAGGCATTGCCTAGGCATCCTTCCAGGCAGCTATCCACGCCGAAATCCGATACTTGCTGTTGATGTCCTCCCATCGTAGCTTGCACTTGTAGTTCAGGGACTTCACTCTCCACAAGTAAAGGACATAGCGGAGCTGCTTGTTTGTGACATTGCAACCAGCTAAGCGCGACATCAAACGATCAGCAAGGTCTGACTTGACGCCTGAAACAGGCATCCCTTCCATCCGAAGCGCGGACTTCAAGTCTTCGCACGTCATAAGCTGTAAGGTGTCCTTGCAAATCCGTAGTCGCTCTGCGTCTTCTTCATGCCTAGTGTACCTTGGCAACGGAGGAGGCGTCACACGTCTCCCCGAAGAAGTAGAACTCGGCTGCTGCATTGGCGGCGTTGTAGGCAAACTTGGCGTCCTCGCGGTCGGTGGCGTACTCATAGGCGACGGCGACCTCGTGGTTCCGGTAGTAGCATCCCTCGTCCGAGTAGGGGTAGTAGTCGTCCTCCTCCTGAGGTCGCCCAGCGGCTCCTCAGTCTCTGTCCGCCTAGTCGCTGCAATTTCTCTCCTTGCCGCAGAAGAAGCCAGCTGGGACACGATCTCCAGCTTTCTTGCCTTCTTCCATCGCTTGTAGATCCGAAGAACACACCGCCGAACCCAGCGTAGTCCTTCCCACATAAGCACGGCAACAACTGCAACCACCACAAGCAGACAGACCATCTCATCCCACGTAGTAGCCGGAAGAGGGTCCTTAATCCGTTGTTCTTGAGCTCTTGATGGGCATACACATTGTGCCAACATCACGAAGACCGCCAGAAGCTTGAGTTTCATCGCTTGCAACACATCCATGGCCACTCCAACGAAGCCCCAGAGGCGCAGCAGCTGTTGCAGCCGCAATTTTGACTGCATCTTGGTAGAGAGGTCGGCTAGCTGTTCGCTTCCTGGAGTGTGTCGCACAATTAACTCACCCGCCTCAACTGCCTCTCTCACATAATGAGCACGGATCTTCAGGTGCCTCGTGCGCTGTGAGCCATGGCCGCCACTCAGCATTGAAACAGCACTCGTATTATCCACAGCAAGCACTCGGCAGACGCCTTGTGGACAAAGCTCTTGCAACAAAGCATATACAGAGTTTAGCAACGTGCATCCTTGAGTGGCTGCGTAGAGCTCCGATTCCATCACGGAAAGAGTCACAAAACTCTGACGTCCTGCCTTCCATGCTATCGGTGATCCCAAAAAGGTTATCACGGCAGCGCCAAAAGATCGACGCCCAAATGGGGCGTATGATGCGTCCGTGAACGCGATGAGTTCTAGCTGCTCTGGCATGTTAACTGGCCCCATCGTCATCTTTAAGTCGGTGGTGCCTGCAAGGTAGGCCATGACCCTTTGTCCAAGTCGAACAACATAGCCCGGTTTCTTCGAAACACAGCTTGCAGCATGAGAGACCACAAACATCACGTCTGGCCTCGTGCGAGTTCCCAGCCAAAGCAACTCACCAACATACCGTTGGGCTAACCTGAGAGTGGACTCGTCATACTCCTCAACGTTGTCGTCGTTCTCTGCGTTTTCAATCCACTCCTTTGGTGCAGGCAGCGCGGTAGGTGTGACATCCATGAGGCCATGCGCACGCAACAAGTCCCGGACATAACCAGCCTGTCCGATGGTGTAGACGAACCGAGCCTCGCCCTGTTCATCTGTCCTGGCCTCTCTTCCAATCTCAACACCGAGATATCGAACTGAGTTGGACTCGGATATCCACTCAAGGTCACTTGCTGGCCATTCCTCAACAACATAAGCGTGCACAGCTCGAACCACCTCTGGTGTGGAGAAGTAGGCGATGTCATCCACATAAAGCACTATCAGTCCATGAAGTGTTCCAGTGATCTCCTCGAGGATCATCCACAGCTCGGGCTCGGACACCGTCGGACGTAGAACAAGCACTAAGTCGCCAACATGTATGCGGGCTCGTTTCAAACGCCTGTTGCGGAAATCACACCAGATTCTCGGTGACTCTCGAAGGCCGTACAACGGCCGCTCTACGATCCATGCTTCAGCTTGAGCTGCGCCCGCATCCCGTACGATGCGGGGAGGGTATATTCCGTACTTTGGGAGATTCTCTGGCCAAGTCGCCAATAAGAAGGCCCCAGTGATATCGGAAATGGCTCCAACCCATCTCCTCATTGCTGAGACCACTAGCGTAAGACGAAGAGCATCTGTGGAGGATCCAGCCGCGTAGAGGTCACCAAACTCTGCATTATCACGGACAAAGTTTCCGCATATAACTAGGCGAGCCTTTCGCCTAGCTCGCTGTCCAGCGACTTGGGGCGGCTTCAAAGTGAACACGCACTTCGCTGGTGCAAAGATCACAGAGCCCTCGGACTCTAACTTCTTCGCCTCATCCACAGCAACCCTCCTCAAAGTCCCAGACGAGAAAAGGGCATCAACCTCCTTTCGAATTGCCGCCGTCCATTTAGCAAGGGCCTTGCGAACTTGAGCGACCGGCACCGTGTACACAACCTTTAAGTCCTCCTCCAAGCTCTCCAACAAGGCCTCGTAATCCACGTCATCTTCTGTAGAAACTTCGGAGCCAACCTTCATGGCATTCAAACACATCATCGTTCTCAGCCGCTCAAAGCCCACCAGCTCTTCATGCACATGGTCTAGGAAGTCACAAACTTGGCTCCTTGCATCTACCAGGTTCTCTCGCGTAGCCTGGCCCACACGACGATATTCCTCACACATGATCTCCTCCTCCTCAAGTAGATCACGAAGCCTTGCAGCACGATCTTCAAGGTCGCCAATTGCCACCTCGACATCTTTGGTAAGGTAGGATAAGGACTCGAACATAGACGACCCACGACCACTCGTTTCCTTCGGCTCTAGACCGTCGCCACTTGGACCAGCTCCGCTTGCACCCCCTTGTTCTGGAGAATCTCGAGGTTGTTCTGGAACGTCACCTTCAGGGCCTGTTGTACTTGCACCCCCTTGTTCTGGAGAATCTCGATGTTGTTCTGGAACGTCCACGTTCTTTGCGACATCCAACAAACCCACTCGTATAACATGCAGCCTTGCGGCCTCCTCATCTTTCGCCCCTTTCGACATATGAGGCGTCCAACTGAAGCCAAAGCTCTTCAAGTAGTCAATCTTATCTGGCTGCAGCTTACCACTGTCTCTGACGGAGTAGGCAATCAACACAGTACGAGATCCTCCATACCACGGCTTCGTAGAATGCTTCTGGCGTGGATCAAAGAGCTGGTGCGTGTGGTCACCGTCCAGCGGCAACAACTTCTTTTCGCCGTTCTCTTCAACCTCCAGACCACCGCCCTTGAAGTAGGAAAGACCCGCAATCAAGTTCTTGCCAACGTTATGAGCATCCACATGTTGTTGAGCTCCCACATCCACCGTAACGGCAACCGCATTGAACTCATGGTCCGGCTGCAGTTGGCGGACGTACTTGGTGAACACTCTCGTAGCAGAGGGGAAAGCTCCAGTAGCTCTCTTTACTCCCAAAACTCCCCCATGGACGAAAGCTCCGGCACTCCACACCTTCTGGTTCTCCCCTTGAGGTCCAAAGCGTTTAGGCGTAGCTGTCGAGGAAGGTAGCATCAGCGCTAAGATCTCGCATTGGTCCGGGGTCAGCACATCCTCCTCTAGCAGCCTCTTGGCGAACAGCTCGGCCGGGTGTTCAGGGTCATACTTGAAGTTCAGTTCGTCCGGAGCCTCAACTGGTTCCAAGTCCCGTGCAGCGACTTTGCTTCTCAAGCGTCTTATGGGCATAGGCAATGAAACTTCGTATTCGGCTAACTCAGCGATTCTGTCTGGCTCCAGTAGATGAGGTCGCAGATGAGTTGACGTCATAAAGGAGCCGGACTCCAAGCGGATAACATGGCCACCCTTCACATCTAAGCTAGGTCCCACATAGACACCAGCTTGCCACCTCGAATTTAGATCATACCGTCCACCTGTGCCGTAAACTTTTGATCTTACGTGCACCCTCGTCCCAAACGGTAGCATCGGTGGAGTTCTCTTTGGAACCTTGTCCATCTGAGCTTGTACTGCGTAGTTTGCCGCCACGGCCCAGTTCTCCTTTCCCAGGCCCGACGCGCCCAGTAGTCTTTTTACTGCTGACTTCGTCCATTTCACAGCCGCTTCGGCCCTACCATTCGCCTGTGGGGATTGCCCTTCGGTGTACGTCACCAGGATCCCCTTTTGTAGTAGCCACCGACGAAGAGGTTCAACACGCAGCTCCCGAGCCCTGTCCGTGTGTACACGGGATACATGGCAGCCCTCGGCACCTAGCTTCAACACCAACTCCTGCGCCGCGGCTGTGACTTCTGAAGCCGTCCTTGTTCTCAGCGGCCTCGCCACGTACACCGTATCATAGTCGAGCTCCTTGCCAACCTCATTGAAGATCCGATTAAACTCCTCCTGAGACAAGCCCCTTAACTCATCTCCATCAACAGGTGGTCCTTTAACGCGTCCTTCAGGAATCTCCTCCATGGGGTCAAAGTCCTTGTCGTCATCATCCCCAAAGATTGCTCCGATGCCCGTCCCATCATCCAGACGCCCATCACCTGAAGCCACTGGTGGTACATAAGGTTCGTCACGCGGTTCTTCGGACTCTGGTGGT